AACTATAAACATGCTGCAACACTACGACAGATAAATAACAAATTTCAGCTGATAGTTTGATATATTATTAAAATAAATAGGTAGCAAATGGTCATACACTAAACAATGTAATCAAAAATGAAATTCAACAATGCACTTATCGAGTTAAAGTTAACCGAACCACCACGTCACCAAATTATGGCAAACTGCTCTTCTGTTGTCGCAAGACTGAGGTTTTAAGGATCCTACAATCCTGCGTAAATATAAATTGTTGCAGGTTGTATGGTTCCGAAACAATTATGTAAGCATTAGAGGCAATGATAGAACCATTCGACTCACAATGACAAATTTTGAGAATTTGGTGTGCAAAGAAAATTCAAAAGGGATAACGGTTGACTTGAATCGAGCGTTTTTCTACGACCAGTCATCGAAACAATCACAGGTAAGTGCTTGGAACGCGCAGCGTATTTGTCGAATTGTAAACAAGCTTTGATCGGCGTTGGTGTGCAAACACTGTTCTGTGCGAATATAAAATGACAGCGAGCTACGATGATCATCAACAGTCCAAGTCACCTTACAGTCGTATTTGATGCTCAGGTATAAAAATACTCTGTTCGATGCTCATCCATGCACAGGATAGCCATTATTTCATCGACCTTCTCATTGCACTGGTTAACAGTTGTCTTTATGATATCCTGCAGCTAGGAGGCGCCCGTTTAGCTTTGCGTCAGTATGATGGCGGTTGTAAATTGGTTGACTATTGAAAGATTATGCAGACAGACTTACACGTTAGGATGCTTTAAAACAGGAAAGACAAAAAGCAGTAATATTTCCTGTCCTAGTTTCACTCAGATTCACTGTTACTCTGCAATAAAAGGTCATTTAAAATCATTTCTTTAAAATTAAACGTAAGCAATGATAACTGCAATATTATCAGACAGCAAGGTTGTTTGTGAAATGGTGCAATATAATGATTGCACCTCGTGGTTGCTGGTAAAATGTGCGTCGAAAAACAAACGTTCCACATGCAATATGAATAGTGCAATTCTTGAGCAGGGGAGAAGGTCAATTATCAGTTTTGCCCGCAATTCCAGACAAAATTTGCAGGAACCACTGTTAAATGTTTGACAGTCAAATTTTATGCAAATCTAGTCTTGAAGAGAGAAAAATTTTTAACAAGTACCAAGTATTCCACCTTTTGCAGAACGTCGATAGCATGTATGAAACGCCCTATGGCAGAATCTTTGACTAAACATTAACGTGAAATAGAAATATTACCAAACTAATAGCTATACTGAACTGATCAACAAGATCATTTAAACCCTTAATTATGAAGGTATGATGTCAATTCCTTCTTTCTGCGGACTATCTCGTTGCTCAGTACAATTAATTATTTTTTTAATTGTCACTAACCTTTTATTTGCAATTTAGCATGAAGGGAAACCTTACTGCCATACCTGCTACAGTGCTCTTTATGGACCGAAAGGTAAGATCAAGTGGCTCAATATATGTAAATTTCTTCATATGCACGTGAAGTATATACTTCATTTAAAGATTTTACTTTACGTTATGCTGCATTTCATCAAGTAATATTACAATTGCCGTATACAATTGTCATATGCGGCTCGTGTATACAAAGCAGTCAAGATCTATACGATGTCATTCGCCGCTGCAGAGGGTCATATTGCTACAGCCTAAAATTCTGCCTCAAGCGACTCATTCTTACGGAATCCATTTGGAACGATTTCCCTAACATATGCACTTAATAGTTTCCGTTTTATGAGACCAGTTTTACTGCTTACCTTTCTAATATCATCAAAAACTATTTTGGGTACAGAGTCAATTTGCTTAGAAGGTGGTAAGACCTATAGTCGTAAGGTTCAAGAGAAAACGCGATCCTAAATTTTTTTGCCTGTTGACCATTAATTTCATTCCGCAGCAGCAATTATAAATAAACAGTCTAGAGGATCATCTCGTTAACAGAAAGCCTAAAAGTGCTATAAGTATAAGAAACACTCATTGCAACACTATAATTTAACCGTTAATTGACATACAGATCAGCTGACCAATGAGACGAGTCCGGATAAGAGTTAGAGATGACAATCAACCATATTCTGAGATCAGCATTATATTAGAATCGGTTGTAAATGAAAAGACAAATGTGGTGACCAATAATGATGACTAAAATTCACATGCATATATTGTAAATCAGTACTTAAAACGCTTGTGGCCTCTGCATCAGATTGATCTGCCATTTGAAGGTAACACAACCAAAATGTAACTTTTTTATCTTAAAGGTTACGGCCATGGAGGAACCGAGAGCCACACGTTCCATGGCGGAAAGACCGGTTAAGCATCTGATCTACTCGTCATGTCAGCTCTTGCTCGTCAAAAAGGTTAATGCTGTCAGCGGCGTCGATTACCGAATAACAGATAAAGTTTAATTGCTAATTAATCTTACATTTTGATATTTCTTTTAAATGATTATCAAATATGAAAACTGGAGGTTAAATTCAAGGTGAAAAATTTTAATGAATAAATTATATCTGAAATAAAACTGGCAGAAAAACGACAGATGATAGAACTTCTACCCCGCTAACGTCACAGGGTATGCAACTGCAACTCTGTGCAGCGAACGAATTCTGCACAAACAAAAAACAACGTCAAACGTTTACAGCTGAATAACGCAATGGCGGCGGTGTTTGGCGCTTGCAATTACTGACACAATAACCATTCAACGAACCGCTTTTCTATCACCGATACGCAATTGAATTAATTATATTTTTAACTTAAAATGTTGCGGATTTCCTTGTGTATCTGACAGAGAAAGTCCACGTACGATGGTACGCTATCGCCCAAATTATCCTCAATGAGAAACTTTCGGAACCATGGTTCCAGCTTGTCTTTCTGCTTTACAATGAACAACTAAACAGCCAAAAAACAAAATTAATATGTCAAATCCCAAAAGCAAATAACAACGGACCTTCAAGCACCGTTGGCGATTCGTCTGAAGCCGATCGATCAGTCGCCGTAATCGCCTCGACGTGATGTTATCCTTTTCAGGAATAATGTTCTGAAAAGAAGCGAATAGAAAAAAATCTACATCGTACTTAACCGGCATAAAACAACAGGTACATGAAAAATATAGGCTCATACGTTAATAATAACCTTAATAATGACCTGATCATCTGACATTGCTTTAATCGCTATAGCAAAGTGCACTGAACCTATATCCTTAACGATTTTAAACAGACAGTGGCACCATTATGTTTTAGCACTTAACAGTTCATAGGGATTCTCTATCGGCTATGGGCGGTGACAAAACACTGTTTGGAGTGGGATAAACGTTTTTTAGCATTCTGAGTGGGTATACATATCTATAATATACGCCTTGCCTAGCATCTAACAGCATTCACAGGGTGCACGCTGCTGAACCAAAACATCGATGGCAGGCTATCTCATCACTGGACAAGAATAATAGGGAAAGGCCATCGTCAAGACAAGAATAAGGCGTAGGAGTAAAAACTGTTTTCGCATCCGAATCTCAGAGAGCCATCACCACGAACAAATCACGAAAAATCAAGGAGATCCAGAATAAAACAAGGCTAGTTATAAATCAGCCTGTCAAATTAAATGTCTTCATCCACCTAGAGGATAAATGTACAATTTCAGCAAGATTTTGCTGTGTCATGCAACATTCATTACGCAAATAAAACTGTTGCGTTCGCCAAGCATTATTGTATTTTCTTTCGTTTCGATCTTGAAGTGAAACATGGAAGTAATTCAGATAGTTCCTGAGTTTTATTTCTTTTCACACACTGCAAAAACAGCGGTTTTCACACTAATGCGTAGTGTTGTTTACAGTGATGCTTGACTATGAATAGGAATATGGCTTAAGGTAATAGGAAGATGGTTTAAGAGCAATCAGTTGATATTAAAGTACTGTCTGGAGAGTGACGATAAATCTTCTATAAACCGGAATTTGAGCTTTTTATGGAGCGTTCCACATCCCAGATGGCCAAATTAAAGATCTGGAAAATTTTAGCTGCGTAATCCTACCATATTGTAATTAGTTTCGTAATGAAAGCGAATAAGCCTGTTCAATAAATTTTTGTTTTTATCCTAGTTGGAGCATGATCATTATGCTAGTCGATGAATAAATAATTAAAGAAACTAAACTCTGAAAAACAGTAAATGAAGTCTAACTACCTTATAGTGGAGGCAGCCACGTGGATGCTTACCAAGTTGATTTTCAAGTCCTACATTACTCTACCGTTTCTGAGAATAATTACTCGCTAACATAGTTCGACGTCATGAAAAAATGAGGCTCACTGAATACGTGTATGCTTTTGTAGTCTTCTTGGTGAGAGAATCGTCCATGGCATTTACAGTGAGGCATAAAGGTTCAGAAACTAAAGAAAATTTGCAAACTCTCATCACTACTGCGGTCGCGGTAAAATCTAAAGAAATGGATTCTCTGTGACATTAAGACAATCAGATGACTATAGCTGAGATATTTCAGAAGAGTACGCCAACGAAATAACGACATATCTGTCAACAAATTTACAAGCAACTGATCAAGATCGTCAAAAAAGTACAAATGTCGAAGTCGAAAGGATGAGCATGAGACAGAAAGTTTGTGAAAACGGTGATGTCATCGTGCCTTACACTCACTTAATGTCACAGTTTTTTAATATAATGGTCTATAATCTGCGATGCTGATCTCTGTTTGGACATCAGTGCGCAGTGACGCAGTTAAAAACAATATTTAGAGTAAGTACGAGCCCTTAGACCCCTATGTGCACAATCAGTTTTACTGCTGAATCTACTTTCACAGAATGAAAAACAAATGATTCCATCCTTTTCCTCTAGACAAATTCTGCATTCTACCCTGACCTCTCAAATAAAACGGAAATAATTTAATGCGATGTCATTTCTCTTAAATTTCAGAGTTAAGCATCACCTGGGGTTCACTGATACACGGGACAAAGACTCGGTAGCGATCTCAGTCATGTTTGATTGACAAAAGGCCCTTGGATGTGGACTGCTGTCTACACAGCGGTCGTCATCTCACGGATCTTCTTTAATAAGTCAGTGTTTTGAAGCAGATCAGTGAGATACTGACCGAAAAGTCGGCCCCAACACACTGTCCCAAACAGCGACAGCTAATTTTCACTAAGATAAATGAGATGCTGCAAATATAATAACAGAGACGTACCTTTTCACAATTTAGCTGAGTTAAGGAGCTGACCCCAAAAACTTGTTCCAGCCACTGTGAATCTATGCCTGAGCCGATCCACAGAAACATAAGCACCCCATTCTCTAAAACATAACTCATTACAAAAAGGAACAAAAAAAGAATAATATTTATTATTTAAGCAGATCATTTTTGCCCAACTACTGCCAGCAGTCGCGACTTTAATTATACACTATCCATACGGAGACATGTAAAACAACAAATATACACTTCATAATGTTTTCATGAATCAATCCATTAGAGTGACGGGAAACAGGCGAATTTCATGTATCTCTTTTTCCGGCTATTTCAGAAAACTTGCTAATATTGTTAATGATATTGTTCAAGAAAACAATGCTGAACTGCTCACCAAAAAAGCCAAGTAGATAAGAGTGAAAACTGAAAAAACAGTCAATCTAAAAGGTTAACCACGTCGATCTACCTCCATCAGAATTCGCAACCAGTTAGAACAGATGAAGCATAGAATATATTTTAAATCGAAGCTAAAAAACGAACGAATTACAGATAATATCTCCATAGGCTGAAGTATGCTTTACTGAATATTAGCGCTACTCTGAAAACACTTTACTGCCTTTCTAGAAGCAAAGTCAAAGCTTCAGGAAAAAGAGAAAAGCAGATAACGTCATATAAAAATATTCACACCAAAATTTATAAAAAAATCAAAACCACGGACAAAGTCAAATGATTATCAAAAATAAAAAATACCTACCGAGAATGTAAGAGGATGAAATGGCGAGGTTTTCGTAGGAACACCGGACTGACTCTGGAAAGTCATCACTATCGTCCAGTTCGCTCTAGAATCGAGGAAATCGATAGACGCGAAACGATCGTAAATGAAAACAAAAAAAGTGACTAACCACTGAAAACAGTCGAGGGTAGAAAAAGTACACGGTGTCGAACACACGCAATGGCGGCACCAGTTGCATGAGCCACGCACGGTCATCGGTGGCCAGATCAGAACCTAACATAGCAGAGATCGAGTTTGGTCGATGAAAACGACAACAAACGCAAACAATGAAAATGTACTAGCAAATGAAAATGACGAACATTCACCTCCGGACAATGCGTCGTTCTTGATTATGCTGATAGTGAACAATGGCAATAGCTTCAGCGTTTCCGGCAGCACCAACTGACCCATGCTAGAAGCAGGCGAACAGTACTGGCGATAGGTTGCCAAAATCTGAGCACAGCGGGTCACAAGGTTTTCGCGCACCTCACGAGGAGTCTTCTGCAACTGCGTTCTTTCCGCTAAACGAAAGAAAGCCGTTGTGTAAGACACTGCGAAATAACTTCTGCAAACACAGATAACTAAAGTTGTCGTCAGCTCGTTCTTGCCTGACGAGTATACTAAAATTCTGTACAAAGATGCAAAGTAATAATGCTGCAGTGGCGAGCACACCACTGATTACCAGGATGAAGAATACACAGGCAGCAAGATATGAGGAAAAATCAAAGCACTAAATTTATCGCTCTTCTAGCTTAATAACCATTTTCTGTTAGGTTGTATGGCCTTTCAAACCGACGCCCGACCTTAAAGTACTTTAAACGAATCTAAGGCAGGAATTCGAGCATATGTTGCTTTAAAGCAATGAAGTGAAAAGAATAGTACATCGGGTTACTGAACATGAAATCTAGGATAGAAAATATTTTGAACGACGTTTCGAATTCTCTTCCGAGATCTACTTGAAGACATGGTCTACAAGTTATAAATTTTCATAATAATCCTGTAGATGCAACCCTTTAAAAACTATTTAGGCGAACACATCTTGTGGATTTTGATCAATTCATATTTGCCTTCTTACGAATTATTAATTTATTACGCACTGCTTGACGAACTAAGAATTAACATTAGTTACTTCCATGTTTTACCACGTTGTCTTGCTTTAGTATCAATGTGATCTATGTTATTATCATCAACGCGTTCTTGATATTTTCCTACTCGTTCTTCAACTTCTCTTTTTCTTCATGCAAATGGTTTCTCATACTTACCAATGTCTAAATCTTCTGCTGTTATTTCTTTTCAGCCACCTTGCTTTTGTTTGTTTGTTTATTCTTTTAATGGTTATTAGCATGTCTGCCCTTCCTTTACCTTCTTACTCTTAAAACATATGCCCTAAAGTAAGTACATTTGATATATACTAATATCGTCGTGGAAAATAACGATAAAAGTCGTTTCATCCGGTTATTTTGCAATGTCGTACCATCCGTTTCCTCCAGACTTCCACAGGGACCATTTAAGTAAATTAAGCTACCATGATATTTAAGCAAAGGCAGTCAACGCAATGTCAGTGATTTGGGTTGAATTAGACAAGTTGGCACGCAAACTCGAAGTGTGGCTGTATCAGATATGCCCGTAAAACCAATGATTATAGCTTTTCAAATAGTCCTTCATCATTTTATCCATCTTCATATTTTAAACATTCTGCATTTTCTCCACTTTCACAATCGTAAAATAATTTTTTCCGTTTAAAATTAAACCCCCATTTGTCGTTGCTTTGTGGTTACTCCATCTTTCTTTCAAATTTTTACTCTGCTTCTGACACTCAATTTTGCTCTTCTATTAATTGTTCGTTTTAAAGAACATTTTTGTCTTCTACCTCATCGTCAACTCGTCCATCTGTTTTCCTTCACCGCATTTTGTTCATTTCACTGCATATTTTCTACCTTTTGAATCTTCGTCTCATACGGTATACAGCTACCGGGTGTAAGTTTATTAGGCTGTCCATCAAACGCGCAGTCCATCGGAATTACATCACTCCCCGTCTGACACGTCTGAATACGGAACAATCCCAAAAAGTAGCCATTTCACCTGCAAATAAATCCAAACTCAGCTAATCGCAATGAAAATCACACCAAGTTGTGCTTTTTATATTAGCAACCGAGAAGAATCACATTACAAGCTTGTGCAATTAAAATACAATGACACAATTCTGTTTCTGAACTGCGATGAAATCTGATCATATTTTGCTGAAAAGTACTGTCATGGCTGATGGCCTGCTATTACAGTCAAAATGCTTCTTTTTCACTAAACAGTCTTTTGAGCATCGACTTTTGCTGCTCATCATCACGCTGCACCTTTCTTCATCATGATTATATTTGTCTGCGTTGGTTAATATCTTATTATAGCCCTTTCCAACTCCATCATTATCTTCTTTTCTCGCATCATAATTTTTTCGAGTTCTCGACTTTTTCTTCATCATATGAACCATTTTGTAAATCTTTCATTAACTTCTTGCAAAAAATTAAATAATATTTTATTTCTTCAGAGTTTTCGTCAATTTACTAAGTACTCTTCCATTTTTACTCATTTCCATTCATGCCGTATTAATCACGATATTAATAATTTACAAGCTGCTGAGTAAAATCCAAACTGCACTCAATGCATTGTTAATCCTGAAACCACAGGAAGAAAGCTGAAACCGCACCGACTTTCTTGTTCAGTTATCTCATAGATGTAAATCGTTGTCGAAGCAGTAATTCTACTAAAACGCAAGTAGATGCACCTGTTTATATAGATTAATCACCCCATCGTTTCATTTGACAGTTACCTAAAAACCCACGAGAATATCTTTGTGATATATTAAGTAAACTTTTACAACAAATTTGTCAGGTATACTTGTTTTCAATATTTTAAAGTCAGCAAAAAACAGCTTTCTTCAAAGGTAAGGAAAGCTTATGTTAACCGAAAGCAAAAGTTGAATATGGACCGTTCATTATCTACGTATTACTGGATGATTTCCATTAAATAAATTATTGAAGATTAAGATTTAACTTTATGAATGGCATCAGCGATGATTATCATTTTTCAGCATTAATGGCGACCGCGACAGAAAAAGAAACAAAGACACCTGGCAATGATCAGTTATACCACAGGACAATAAAAATGACACAGAATAATTTCACAAGTAAAGAATGGGATAAAAAATAGAACATAAAATACGGAACAGTCAACAAAAAGCAACATTAAACAGTAATATGCTACTACCGCGACAAAAGTGAAATACCTCTGTTAATAACAGCACAGAGATTTCTGAGAATGAGCAGCTAAGGGTAACAGAAAAGAACATTAAAAAAGGTCCACAGTCGATGAGATATTAATGAATTGGAGATGGCGTAGCGCTGCAAGACAAATGCATGAACGTACGTTATAGCAAATAACATATAAGTTTGGAAATGTCGTTGATTATGGACATTACTACCGGATATGGCGGTGATACTTAGTGGAGAAAATCAAACCAGCGAACGCATAACGGAACTGAACGGTTTTGAATTCAGTAACCGTCAGAGAAATCGCTATAATGAACATATACAAGCCACCCGAAAGCAATTGGCCAAAACCGCCGCTACCAGCGCTGCCTCACCCAACCGTTTATGCGGACGACCTTAACAGCCATCACACTAAATGGGGTTGCACCGTGAACAGTGCGACGGAAAACGACTAAAACCGAATGAGCGTCAGCAGCTGGTATATATCAGGTGTCACAATGCTAAACAGCAAGATACTTTCAGATTAGCAAGAGGGAAAACCGCCATGGCGCTCCAGTATTCTATCGTGAAGTACTGTTCCGCTGTTTAGAGCTACAGCTGCCACATGAAACTATGTGAACAGTAACAGGATCCCTGAAGCCAATTCAAACACAGTGGTTACCGATTCTGACACATGTTCAACCCCCTCACCTTTGGAAGGGCGAACAGATGTCTCATGTTTTTCAGAACACCGATAGAAATCACCAATTCCTTATCCATCGTGTCCTCCAACAGATACCAGCACGACGCCTGAAATCATGCCATCCACCATGGCAATGAGCGACGAGACTAAGTCTCGAAGCAGAGTGGCGAGTACAGTGAGACGCCACAACCGTTCATAACAAAGACTAAACTCCAACTCGACCACAGAACCTCCAGAACCTAAATCATTAAGGATGGCCGAGGAAAAAATGGATTTGAACAGGACAAGGGCGCAGTGAACATCTACTCCATCATTGGAAAATGAAGTCCAACCCGCAGTGTGACTGCGGTCATGAAGATCAGACCATGCAGTACATTATTTCTGAATGCACATTGCAAAAGCTGAACATGTAACTAATGTCCGGAATGCTACCGCGACGACCATTTATTAGCATAGAGATCTTGACATTAAGCTATAAAGTTGCTATTCATCATCCCCAGTCATATAACAGAAAAATAAGACATGAAGTCCTCACCGCAGAATCACGAATATCATTAAAAACAACAGTGGAACTAAGCCAGCCTAAAGGCTCCAATGCTGCAAAAGAAACAAAATTTAATTAGCTTTTGCGTAATTTCAAGAGCCCCAAAACTTCCTTATTTTAATTTAAACGCAGTACCAAAAGCATGTGCACAAATTTACCTTGCTTCGCGAGAAAATTGACGACGGCAAAGATGTCGGCAGAACGGTAGATGGCGTGGAAGTCCGGTGCCGTGGCAAGAGACAGGTTATGAATTCTTATGCGCCTCTCGCCAGAAACGCTGGTGTACAACACAGCCGCCTATGAATGGATATGTTAGGACATGCATGAAATAAATAACGAGTAAAAAATCAAGGGACGAAACTTGCAGTACCATTACCAGTAACAAAAACAGCATCGCCGAAACGAAGATCAGAATGTGAAGTCGATGCCAGCAGGAAACAGAGTAATAACAAACGCAATTTAATGAAGCTATATGTCTACACTAAAATTCGATACTATATAATTTATAAAGGGATAAATATATGAACTGCACAAAGTAATCATCCAGTCATGAGAAAATGTTAACCGGGACAAAGGATACGAACTTGGCATGGATTCGAAAAGCTTTATCAAGCCAATGTTGCCGAAAAAGTATTTAACCAAAAGCACACCTTTTGGATCAAAGCATTACAACAGCTGTGCACCACACAACCAACTTCAGAAACTAATCTTCCTTCAAGAAGACCCGTAAGACACGAGCGGAAACGTCGGTATTAGTTAATAACCCAATTTATTTATTTGTCTGCGTTATATTTAAATAAACCGTGTTTTATACGGTTTTCAGCATAATCACCAATGCAGGATCGAAACAGTGAAACTGAACAATACATACACACGTATATACATACGAATATATAGATGTAGAAACAGTATAACGTATATATAAATATACCATTCACTTCATTTTAATCCGTGTTATACTATTATGCAATACTATGCCACACGGAATACATGCAAGAGCTAAGGGATTTAAACGACAAATTCACACCTAACCTCAGCTTCTTGAGATATGGGGCGATCTATGCGATACGTTATGTATGTTAAGATGTTCTAAGCGTATAAAAACAAATGGTCGATGCGATTACGTCGAGTATATGAGAAATAACACGAATTTCTAATTCTTACTGAGAACTGAAAAGTGACTTTTGTTAATAATTCCAGAATGACACAGTCAACATCTAGATTATACATTAGTACAACATAATAAACTGTTATATTATATTTCAATAAAATAGAGCTTTCAAGTGACAAAAAAAATTAATGAACATCTAACAGCTAAAATAAGGCCCATTCATTTTTACTCAACTTTATGACTTTACAAGCCACGTAGCTTCTATGCAATCCTAGGTTATCTAACCGACTCAGAATCGAGATAAAGTACTGGATGGTTACTTAAGTATAAACTTAAAGCACAGTATCTAGTGGTATTCCATATTCAGCACATCTTATACATTCAACCGTGATAGTGAAGCAAGGTAAATTTTTGACAACCGACGCCATCGTTAGGCTGTCTGTTTAGACAGACTGCCGCGATGTTACTGGGAGTGGTTTGACAACCACAAGACACAAAAAAGCAATCTCACAAAGCTAGCTGATGTGTAACCTCAAACACTTAATCACAAGAAGGACTGATGCCACTGGTCGGTCAATATTTAAAATTAACTGTGATAACGAATTTTGGAAAGTCATCGCAGAGCATTTATCACCATTTCTCTGAACATTGTATATGGGTACCATAATAAACCAGTCAGTGCAAACTGAAAGTCGTATAACGAATTAACATACCAAGGTGTCATTACATACCTTGACTAAAATGCATAAACGGAACAATTTCATGTCTAAGCATACACTCATAATTTTGTCAAGTGCTATTTGCATCTCATATATGTAGGAGCTTCTGCCAAACAAGAAACAATTTCGAAACACCTCATTCTAATGAACTTCCCTAAGGCAACTGATTACATCTGTTTCGCTACATCGATGCTTCGCTCAGTTACTAGTCTCCTACTTCTGTGGAACAATGAGAACAAGTAAAAAAGAATGCACATGTCAATAATATACACACATCAATGGCTTCATTCAGATGCCAACAGCTAGAATAAGCAAATTTATCATGGTATTATCTAAACCAGTCAGCCTAGTCAAGTTTATTAATTTATACAACATGTTTCACCAGCGTAAAAGCATCCTAGCATAATCTATTCATCTATAGCTATATATTTATATCTACAGCTTCACTATATTGCTGCTATTCAAAAAGGGTGGACTCTCGTAACTCTCATTTATCTACCATAAAAACATGATAAGCGCGTAACCCTGATATTTGAACAAAAACGTCATATAAATTGATAATCTTTTTGTCAGTCAAACTGTTCTGTAACGTTTAAATTAATTCTAAATAAGCAAATTAAATAACTGCTTTTGCCCACAACAAAAAAGACAGCCTCACCTGGAAAAAAGCCGCTGTTCCGTCTATCTTATCGTCGTGCTTTATTTCGATTGTTACACACTTATCACAATCAACGGCGGCCATTTCTACGTCAGTGGTGTTAGACATGAAGAAACTACCGTAGAAGTCGGTCGGTCTAATTCCTACGAAAACGCAGATACTACAACAGGTAAAGAAAATGACGGCATGTATAAAAACCTACCAGATGAAGTTCGCAGCCGCATTACAGCATCGAAGAGAATTGGCTTTTGAATATCGTTCCGCAAATCGGCCAAAAATCGAGGCCCATCAATTTCCGGCTAAACTGAGCAAGTTTAGCATTCTGAGCAAGGTAAACCTCGAACAAATTACATGCCTAGATGAACAGTGATTTGATACATTCGTACATATTGATAATATATTCGTTATCGGCTAGACTGCGTATTATCAACCAGTGGTCAGCTCAGCAAATGCTCGGGAGTGACCTGAGATCGGCAGATGTAAGATTTGTACGATAATTTGTAGACAAATCAATTTAATGGATTATACAAGAGCAGATTAGAATTTCTTCATAAAGTGACATACTCTATGAACAGTGGACGAAACAAATTACGATGAATTTCTTAACAGTACAAGAGGCATAACTTGCCAGTCACCACTCGGTCAGATATACGGGGAGATTTGCAATTAAACGTGTATTTATACTGAAAACTCTTACACATAATCAGCACCATGAACATGAACCGCGAAACGTTTGAATACATATTATACCAATGGATTTACAATCTGTATCCCTCTTGATATCGCAGTTGTCTGTAAGAAATACCGTAGGCAAATTCATAGAGCCCAATTACCTTAAACCTAGGTCTATGTATTCAAGTTAAGGAAGAGAACGATGAGGAAGAATATGGTAGAGGATAGGTAAGAGTTGAATACAGAATGTTATAATACTAACGACGGACGCCTTTACATGACTTTCCTGAAAAAGAAAAGAATAAATGATAATGTATAGGACACTCAGAGCAGCTTTCTATTCAAACTTAGAATCATTTACTGCGAAACCATGAAATGATCCGTCTCACCTGAAAGTACTGGTACTTAAACACCTGACCACCGGTCAGTCCGCAAAGGCTGCCGACTGTAGCCACGTCCATGTAAGAGTTCGGAAACAAAAACATGTCGACACAGCATCCGACCGAAACACAGTCTTGCGCCAGTTTTGTGTAGAACTCACTTTGCGGGGTAAGGATCGTCTGAAGTAAAAAACTTAATGAGTACAACAATATAATCATAAAAATATAATGACATCCACTAGAGTACTAACAATAATTACTATAATATAATAGGACTACAAGACGGAATACAACAAAGAAACGGATAAAGGAATCTGAATTAAACGTACTTTTTCTTTCTCTGTACCTAGCAATTTTCGATCATCTCGGTTTTTCAGTTTACCTGGAGCATCGAAAACTGGTAACACCGAGTGAAACACGAACACCTTTCCCGGCCTTCCAAGAGCCTTAACATCGACAACATCATTTCACTCTGCTGTACCATCTAATTTGCACAAAACAAACCTTGAACGCTTCCACACCCGCTTGCACCACAGGACCCAACACAACTTCAGTAATTTTGTTGTCCGCAAACATAGAAAAAATGTGCTCGGCAAGCCTAAAATTATATGCTGTCATAATAATAACCAAAATAACGGTCAACGGCAAAGCATACGCATCGATCGCAGATTCAGCTTGACTTGGTTTTACGAGAAAACCCTCTTCCAGCGGCAGAAACATTTCGCTGACATCGTTCACCACCAGCATTTTCAGCTGTCCAGGGTTACTCTAAAATTCAACGGTTATTTGTTATATGAAAATAATAACGAACTATTTCATGAAAATCAGAAATCTATCAATTGAACCTTGTTGAAGGACGCAATCTGACAATAGAACAATTTTTACTGAATGAGAAATGCGCAGCCACTGTAGCATACGCATTTTACAACATTTTTAACTTAAATGACCGGAAAGAATACTCTTTTTGCAGTTTTTTAATCAATTCTGCTACGAGCTTCTCCGGCATCCGGTGACACTTAGAAAATTATACAGCTCACGTAGCTGAGAGCTTTTAGCTGTTAGGCTCAGAGCCAGTATGTTTTTCATCATCACGCAATTCACGATAGCGCAGTGACATAGAAGGCCTGCTTACCTTTAAATCATAAAAGTGAAGAGCGTGGTCGTAAGTGATAAAGCCCACTTCCATCATGCTTGCTTCATTATTTGATTCTCTAAATCGCTACCATGACAAAAGGAAAAGAATATTTCTTCGTTGTCCTCCTACTTTGGCAAAGATCTCAGCAGCGATTTTAGGTTCTGACATAGTAAGCCAACGATACCGTTATGAACCGCGTTGTATGAAACGTCGATCATGAAAATACAAGCAGGAGGCTTCGGAAAGATGCCATCCTGAAAAGGAGAAAGTCGCAAATCAAGGTACATCATATACATCTATGGATTTAGTCCAGTCCGATGCTTACCTTGCAGTATTCCTTTGTGGCAACGAACTCATACGACCCAAAGTGCAACTCGGGTCGTTCCATGTAGTCGACCCGACGGCCTGTGTAATCCAAATGGGCGAAGTATTCGGTAGGAACTAAGGTCACGGGTAAGCGAAAAAAATTTTCAAGCTATCAAAGAACCACAGGGATTTACCTTCTGTACTGGCGGTGCAAATCGGACACTTGAAATGTCTGCCCCCGTCGAAAAACTCCATGAACGGACACATGTACGCTTTACAGCGGTGACACCGTACAGGTCCAAGATCGCCAAAATTAACGATAGGCAATGGATTCTGTAAGCGCACGAATATCGCATTTTTCTTTGAAGCACCGTAATACCTACCTCTTGGTCAGAAAGTCTTGCTGTGGGACAAACGCAAATGCCCATGGGCAGTGCTGTCTGTTTCACCAAGTCGCTATTGATCGGAACGTTGTACAAAGTAGCCCGCATGAACTTCGGATTGCAATTACCTAAAATAACAGCAAGTAACAGTGCAAGTGGATGCCTATATTTTTGTAAAAATCTATCGGGTAAAGGTGCCTTTATCTTAAATAGAAAGCTGAAATATAAAACTTTAGAATGTCATGTTTAATCATCAACATCTTGACACTGTGAAATCAGCAGGTGAACTTCTTCGAAACCCTCTTCAAAGAGTCTCGATGTGTTTTAGTTACTTGAGGAAGTGGGAGTGGGAATTTTCGGTTTATACTAGGTTTCTTCAAGATAAGTGCCTCAGCAAATTCGAAGAAATTCTGAGACAACCTCCTCCAACAAACAGTTTACAACAGAGCCAACATGCGTGAAGAGAACATAAAGCTAATGCACTTTATGTAAGCACAAAACTATGGCACCGATTAAGGAGGAAATTTGGCTATAGGTGGGCGTGTTAAACCACTCCAGGATGCGCTCAGCATTTGCGGACAAGGGAAGAAGTACAGCATGTATCTGATGGCAGCCCACAGCTTCTTAACATTATTAAGCTTGTTATTAACAAGTTACAACATGGCAAAAATGCCCCTAATTGCGCAGCTCTTCCTGTCTACATCTATGCGATATCGATATCGCGATATCGTGCCTGCACATAGGGTCGGTTATTCTGTTTCATGCACGAATAGTTCTCCTTTTTATATGCTAATCGTCAATCATTTATCGCTTTTTCTCACCGTTATCTTCAGCGAAGTAATCCGTCGTGGCCAATGGCGGCAGTTCGGCGGTAGGGAAGCCCGTGGGAAAGTTTCCGCTTCTTGCTCTGCGGTCGTCTTCGATAACCTTGGTCTAAAAAGAACTGCGAGCATAATGGAACGGTCACAGCTAAAAATACGAACAGCGCTTGGCATCAAATTGGGATCGAGTCGTCGAGATGCGGGGGCCGCCGAGGGTGCCATTGGACCACCAGGTCCGGGCTGCATTGGAGGGGGTATTGCCGTTGGAGGAAACCCGCCACCCATCGTAGTCAGTGAAGTCTAAAACCACTAAAGATTTTACTGAAATAATTTTCATAGCATTAACACGTACTTGCGGTGGCGCGGCGGGACCAGGGCCAAAGGGTGGTTGCTGCGATGGAAAAGACGGTTGATTTGCAGCATTCGACAAGAACTGCGAAGGAGGCTGACCGCTGGCTGCCGACGACATGAACGGAGGAGGCTGCAGCTGTTGACCGGCGCCTGTGCCAGGGGGCAAGAACTGCGGGCGTTGCGGACCGCCTGCGCTGGGAGTGATAAACGGCGGAGCCTGCGCCGGGGCACCTGAAGGATCGAACTGCCGCTGTGGTGGTACACCGGCGTTGGATACCATCGTTGGCGGAGGCTGAGCGTGCGCATTCTGAGAGAAGGATGGCGGCTGACGCATGGGCTCGCTATACGATGGTCGAGAAAACTGGGCACCTATGGCGCCACCTCCACTGCTAACTGGCGGTAACTGAGCAGAATACTGGCCTGCGTTAGGCATAAATCGAGGAGGTACGGACTGCATTGGTGGATGTTCCTGCGAGCTGGTGCTAGGAGCAAACTGCTGGGATTGCGGAGGCTGTAGCGGCTGATGCTGCTGCTGACTCACGCCAGATAAAGGCAACGAAACTGGAGGAAGATCCGGCCGCGCATAATGAGGAAATTGATCTGGTGCTTGAGGTGGAGGTTGCGAGGCATAAAACGCATTCTATAATGA